AAAACCTGCTTTATTTAAGTTGCCTAATTATCCATGTTGGTGAAGTGTATCTTGCATATGGGACACATTTTACTCCGATCAATTGTTGACCTTTACACCTCGAATAAAAACTTCAGTGATCGGGTTTGTGTTGCTCTCATCTTGCTGAGGCGTAATATAGTCAGCCTCTCCTTGCCCTTGTTTGTAGTTGTATTTGATGCATTCAGAGCGAGGCAGACAGTAACTGCTTGGCTACTACTATATGATGCATTGGGCGCAAATTTGTCACAGTTCCTCGACTTGTAGCAGTCGGCATGTTTTACTTGGTAGGGAATTGGAAGCTCTACTGGAGTGCGAGCATAACGCCTACGTGCATGTGTTTTGGTAAACAACGTCACTTGTTGCCAAGAGAAGCTGAAGATGCTGAGTTACTCCGTGCCTCATTTGCTTCTCTGGATTTCAATGTTTGCCTCTATTCAATTGTGCGATTATGGGATTTGCTAGCTTGCGTTTTTCAACGGTCGTCTATGGGCTGATGGCAGGGAGTGTATTGTTGGGCCTAGGCAAGTATTTGGGTTTGTCACATGTATCTGCCGCAAGTGTTGGTTGGGTGGGTGCGTCAGCCGATTTCTGACTGTTAGCCATTTCAGAGCTTAATTATTCTGTCAATAAGGTGGTCCTGAGACTAGTACATTGACATGACTTTTCCTTTTGTTGCTTCCAAGCCAGTGGTTCTACGACTGGCTGTGAATATGCATAATGGCCAATACATACCCCCTTCCCCCGAATCCAGCTACATAGAGGAGGAAACTGCAGATCCACCAGGGCAACCTAGAGGGATCAGTGGTGTTGCGGTCAAGTATCTTCTTATTTGCATGGAAGCTCGATGACCGGGATGGTGGGGATGCATGCGGTATTCAGGAAACGATGGACGAGGCGGTGGGAGTGGAGAGAAGTTCCGCCATCTCGGTTCGACTTGAGTCCATTATTCCACGAAACAGATTTCTTATTGTCTGTGATTTTCGTCTTCGCTTTGGAATTCTGTGCATATACCTATTTGATTGTGTGCGCTCCGGCTCCTCACAATTTAACTGGACTCAAAACTTATGCCTTATTAACGATATTTGGAGTGTTTTGGGGTGAGAGTGGGGGGTTGGTGAGGATGAGTTAAGGACTTATGTGTATGTTAGGGGTTGTCAGTCGCGATCCTTGAATTTGGCACTGAACTAGTTTCCCTGTGAATGCAGCCACTACTGGTACCGTTTACTTTTTAAGCCGGCTTGGATAGTCCCCCTTATCTCAACTCCTACCAGTCTAGATGCGGTCCTCTTCGTAGTTGTTCCACTACAAATATTATTTGAGGAGGCATGAAGGCGAAGCATTCTGTGGGACCTCAACTGTTAGGTGATGTTGGGTGTTTCATTATCAAGTATGGAAATGCTTTTTTTCAAATGTGCACGTCCAGATAATTTGTGCGTAGCATACCAAGTCAGAGTGTCCCGATTCAATGAGACCGCTCGTTCCAAAGAAATAGTGGCCAAATAACCATATGCTTCGCAAGCAAATTTTATTTTGTTGTTTGAGGAGAGAAAGAACAATTCATCCTTTCACTGGCTAGTTATAGCGCTTGTGTCTTCAATAAAATTTCTAGAATTTTGTTCGAATCAACGGTCATGTGACCTGACGTTGCTGTTATGAGTCCCATTATATGCACCGTTGGCAGAGCACCAACTTAGACTCCATTTGTGAATATGAAGTCTTGGCAGTTTCTGACGGATGCTGTTTTAGGTGTCGATAGCGTAGGAGAAGTGTAATGCAATTGTCGTTGTGGGGTAGATTAAAAAAGAATGGGAGGGACCCGTCCTCTAATTTTCCTAATTACAT